ATACTAGTATATAAACCTACGGTAATGTGTACACGTGTCACTTGTAGACTTTTAACACTTATATATATATACACGGACGAGTTTATTCCAAAACGGGTTATACGCAATTTACGAGAACTCTTCCTGGGTGGTCTCGACCGCAACACTTATGACGCCTTTTCGAAACTGTAAGGTACATTTATGGTCCAGTGATCTTTTCGTTCGCCGCGATATTAATAATTTATCACAATAATAAAGTACCTGTCCGTCACGAAAAATGGTGACCGTGTGTGCATATTATTTGTTGGCCCGTGTTGCACCCCATTCCTTCCGGTGAAAATACTGTACCGTGGAAACTAATTGCATTTTTAAGGTGAAGAGGGCGATGGGTTAACATTTGCTTCGACCGTACTTTATCTTATCTATAGTCTTTTCTATACTTAACCTTTTCTCCCCCCCCCGGCCCTTCACTAATGCCTGCACCTACTTATTGCTTTCGTTACAACCTTAAATACCGTAACCGAATGTTTGATTTTTTTTTTTTTGTTTTGATATTTTGAAATCGGAGGGGACCGACAAATATATCGGTTAATGGTTTTACTATATAATGTGTGTGTTTTTTTTTTTTTTGTCCATTAACCCCTGCTGGTTTCAATCGGAAGATTTAGTTCCAAACGAAAATATCAAGGGATTTTTGGTTGACTAATTTTAACCAGTATAGAGTTTTTCAAACTTTGATTGTAACGTGTAACCCTAAATAAAATATATGCATATATTAAAATTAATTTAAAAATATTATGAATGTAGATGAAATTATTAGAACTCTAAAAACCGAAACCACCTTTTCCAAATCCTTATGACGAGAATTCCGTATCAATTAAAATCAAATACAGACTATAATACGACTAAATTGAGACAAAATAAAAATAATCAATAAAAAATTATAAATACTTTATTCACTTTTCGTATTTCTCATTTATAAACATTATTATTAACATCGTTGACGTTATATTGTTCGTGGAATAAAAGTAATTTTTCGTTTGAAGCACGATTATAAAAAAAAAAAAATGTATAATATGTATATTGTATATACATTTGTATAATATACGTAAAATCGATTAAAACCGACGAATAATAAATAGGTATAAAAAAAACGATAAATGATAATATTATTATAATTTTAATCGCAGATTTGGCCGCTGCACGCGGTGTCTTTGAAGTATTTCATTAATAAGTCGGGTGTTCAAAAAAAACTCAACAAGGTTGTGACCGATTTAATCTGCCGATAAAAAACAATTTCTGTAGACTCGACCGATTTTATTACCAGATTTAACGATAGCGTCTGAACAGTCTTTGATCTTGCGTTATTGTTATACTATTATAATGTGGCATATATAAATATAACGAAACGGCGGCAAAACCGAAATCTATATTTGAAATTATATTATATTATTGTTTAATTGTCTCACAAAAAATTATTTAATGGTTATAAAAAAAAAAAAAAATATTAGAAACTAATACCTATTAAGTTGGAATCCGAATTTTTTCTCAACGAAAACGATTAGGTAAAACTTTCGAGAATGTAGACAATTTGTTAAAATAAAAAATGTCTGTCGGAAAATTCGGGTTCTACTTTAAGATACGGTGTGAACAATTTGCAACATTTTTACTAAACGAAAAAATATTAATAAAAAAAAAAAACTACTATAATATTGCACCCGACTTTTAATATTTTTGACTACTAAGTTCAATTTATAATGAATCTCATGTTAAATATTTTCATACGTTTTGATTGGTACAATAATTTGGTCCACATATAGTATCTACCAAATAAAAACGAAAAAAAATTTGAAAATGTAATATGCCTAAAAAAAAACCATCAGAATGTTTTAAAAATTCATTTAAGTCTTGAAAAAGCTAATATATGTGTTCTGTGAAAATACCAAGTCTCTATAAACATTTTTAACTGAATAACAACAAAAATCAACTAGATCCAAAATGAAGTAAAATATTTTTATTTTTTTTGCCGTTTTTCGATTGGAGCAAATTTTCTGATAGAAAAGTTATTACAGATACGGAAAAAAAAACTCTCAAAAAACCTATAGCGTACGTAGTTCATTATTCCAGTCAGAATCCAAAAGGAACAAGCGATTCGTGATCTTATGTTACTTTTTCTATAATTAATATGGTTATTATCTTCATTTTACCGTTGACCTGTGTAAAAAACTACATTAATACAGTAATTAATAATAATAATAATAATAGTAATAATTTTTAATGGTATCCTAAAAAAATTAGAAATGAATGCGCTTTTAAAAATAAAAAAGAGACGACTTATACACAACTCGTGCAAATCGGTGAATAATTTCGGCTTTAATACGAATCGTGGATTTTTTTTTTTTTTTATAGAACAATGGAACTATTGGTTCGTGTACCCGAAAAATAAAAACTTTCCAGACACAATAAAACGGTTATTATATTAAATTTAATCAACGGAAACGATTCGCACGTTGATTTAGGACACTACTCGGTTTACAGACGTAATTCGCAATATTTATGTATCGATAGGTTATTATTGTGAAATTGAAAGGAAAAACAAATTTTAAATATCACTTTTTTTTAAAAAATTTCTCTTTATACACACATGTTATAAACGTACTGTATACTTGTATATAAAAATCATTTTATTCATTTTACAACGATATTCCGGCCCCTTCGTCTTCATATTTTATTGCATTGTTATTCTTTGAACAACTCTTCAGTACATTTTTTTATCTTTAACTATTGTTTTAAAAATACGCAGATTTTTTTTTATTGCGTCCTTACACATTTTTTAATTTGACTCAGCAACAATTAATAAACTATGTATGAAATCCGTAACTTCAACTTATTATAATGAGAACGGCAATCGGTTCGTTTTAATCATTATTGTAGCACAAACATTTGTGCTACGTATCGTAAGGGTCTATTATTTCCAACATGTATATTATAAAAAAAAGGCATTATTTATGTTTTGACGGGTGTACAATATTCGTAGAGACTTAAAATTTGGACAGAAAATGTATAATTGCCTTTTCTAGACAAAGTAAGATTTTCAAAACATTTGGGCTTTTTTTAAACTTTTTATAAAAATTTTAATATTTTGTTGAAGTTCAGTTAAAAATATTCGTGTAAACTTTATGGACTTGAAATTTGGACAAAAAACTTTCATTTAAATTTCATAGACGTGGTAAAATTTTCAAAAAATGTTTAGTTTTTTTTAGTGAAATTTACAAATATTAAGATTTTGCGAATTTTGTACATAATTTTATTCGGTAGGTACACAATTGCAAAATTGTTAGACTTAACAGAAATGCCTAAAAATTTAACCTGAATGTTTATTAAGAATCGTATATTTTGATAAAACAAAAAATTGAGCTTAATGTAGTATTTCTTTTTTATAAAGAAATTTAATATCAAATATTACGAAAATCGTTTGAGTAAAAAACTGGAACAAATCTAATTTTTCAATTTTTTGATATGACAAAATGTATATTATTGATTTAAGAACGATGGTGAAAACCGAATTGAGCGGACTCACTTGATAATATCAAATCTTAAAGTTCTGATATTATGCGGATATTATACTATCTCTGTATTGTCTATTTTATTTTATTTATTTCTCGTAGTCTGGTGGTGCTACCTATTGTCATCCAAAAGACCGCGTTTTCAAACCAGTGTTCCGAAAAAAATGTTTGCATTTGTTTTTTCCCTTTCACCTAAACGGGAAAAAACAAAGGCAGTAAAAGAATTTTAAGGCCTTTTTTCCCCTTGTAAACAACTTTTCTAATAGCAATTTTACTCCGATTTACGAAGACAGTATTTTTTCTGAAAAGAAATCTGACTGAAGTGGTACTTTACGGAGGATATTTTATGATTTTCTCAGGAGTTTTCCCAATGAATGAGAAAAACATGGAAAAACCGGAAAATAAATTCAATATTAAACTAATGTTATTAAAGAAAATATATAATGCATATTATGTTACTATTTTACCATAATATGACATATTTGTTGTTGATAGAAAAATATTATTAATTGAGCTCAGCTCAGAATATTTTTTCGTTAACAATGGTTAAGTAATCGTTGCTTATAGATATACATTGAATTTCAAATCTATCTTCTAAACTTCTCACTTACAACAGTGGTCTACCCACGTGCGAGGTATGACCGTATATTATTAATATAATTGTACACAATTTAAATGATTATTTTGCATATAGTTAAATTTCTTGAAGGATATAAACCCAAAACTTGAATAAAACAAAAAATTGAACAAAAATCTTAGAATTACACATTGACTTTGTTTTGAATAGATAAATCTGTGTTAACACCAAAGTTAGAAACCAAAAATGATATTCTAAATCAATTATACACAAGAAAGTAGTTTTTGGTACCTATGCAAAGAAAATTTAATGTTAATCACTGATAGACTAATGAATAAACAAATTTCTTTCCCCCGCTATGAGTCTCATCATTATTTGTAACACGTGTGGTCGCACAACGTCTTTTTAACCGTTCAATTATATCTCATATTTATTTAACATTTTACAAAAAAATATATTTATTTAACATTTTACAAACAAATATATTTATTAATGATTTACAAAAATTATACGTTTAATAAATTATACAATAAAATTTGGTATTAATGGAACAATCATGCTAAAGATTAAAGGTAAACAAAATTTTAATAACAATTATTTGAATGAAAGAATATGTTTGAATTTATGGTATATAAATCTAATGATGTATATTGCAACCCTCAATAAATTAAATTAATCTAAGAAAAAAGTGACTGGATAAATTGTTTTTGATGTTTTTTCCTTTTAAAGTAGGACGCTGACAAAAATGATACATAACAAAATTGATACCTAGTGTAGTATCACATGGTAATTTTAACAGGTTATAGATTTTAAAAATAGCTATGACAAAACACGTTCGTCCCACATAATTATGAATAGAAAGATAACTATTTTTCTTTTTAAAAATCTTTATGTGAAAACCAATCGGCTGTATACGTAAAATTGTTGAATAATTCTTGTTGTTCATTGGTTAATAATTTCGGATCTAAAGTCAATTGTGGCGTCTCAGATGTGAATTCTTCTTCGAAGTTTCCCACATCTTCTGGCGAATTCTAATTTTTTATTTTAATTTTTTTTATGTAAATAAGATTTATTATGTAGAACTAACATTAAGTTTCAAAACAGACATATTTAAGATGCTTACAACGGTCGGTACGAATGGAGGTTTAACCTTTCTCCTTAGTAAATCCTCCCAAACAACTTCTCCAAAAAATTCTTGTAGTTTTACGTCTTCTGCATCTCTTTCATTTGAACCTAACCTTTTTTCAGGATTTTTGCATAAAAGCTATGTCCACAAAAACAACAAAATATTTTCTAGTTAGTATATAGTTTCCTCTAATATAAATTTAAAAAAACATACATTGCTCATAATTGAAATCGCTTCAGAAGATAGTATACTAGGATATGGAATTTGATCGTTAACTATGCAGTGAAACAAGCTTTGTAGATCATTGGCGTCTTCGAAGGGGCACTATGTGTGATAAAAATTCATATTAGTTATGGTGTTATATTACACATTAATATCCAAAATATATTTACCTCTCCCACAAGCATTTCATATATCAATATACCAAAAGACCACCAATCTACACTACGCGTGTACGACGTTTCGGTAATAATTTCAGGAGCTAAATATTTGGCTGTTCCACAAAATGTTGCGGTCCGATCGCCAAAACCCACACCTTTTTTGCATGTACCGAAATCCGTTATTTTAACGTAGCCATCAATATCCAACAGCAAGTTATCTAATTTTAAATCTCTAAAAAATAATGAACGTACCGTTTTAATGACAACGTCACAAATTATAAAAATGAAGTAAACATTATACAAACCGATAAATGATACTATTGCCGCATACTCCATAACAAAACAAACATGAGCCTATAAACAATAAACCGAACAATTTTAAAATACAAATAAATAATAAAATTTTAGTATACTTACGTCTGTCTGGAAACAGGCGAATAAATTCACTAAGAATGGGTGATGGATATTATTAATAACTTCGAATATACTTTTTTCAGAGTGTAATGCCTCCACTCCGTTTTCAGAAATTATATTAGATTTGTTAAGCGTTTTAATGGCGAAATACTCATCTGATTTTGTGTATTGACACAATGTTACCTATAATAAGAATGGAAAGTAAATGAAACACAAATTACTTACTTGCATTCTAATTGTTTCTAATGATAATTATTACTTTTCCAAAACTGCCTTTTCCTAATACACTCAGAAGTCTAAAATCTTCAATGGATATATTCGACATTTTATCATCCACCTTAGAACTTAGTAAATCGTTATCTTCCTCATCTTCAGCTAGAACCCGGCACTCTACAACTAAACTTTCTTCCAAATGTGATTTGGACCTTACTAAAATAGTTATACCATAAAAATTATAAATACCTATTTAAATTCCTAATTTTTGTTTCAAATCATATTAATTAATTCTTTGAAGTTAAAAAAAGTTTGATCAGTAAAAACAAATGTGCTGTTTAATTTAATTTGTAATTTTCAAGACAACGATTTTAATGAAATTGGAATTTATTCAAGGCGAATTTTTTTTTAATGAGAATTTAACATTTGAATTAGGAGTGAATTATAATTTTAAGATGAATGTTATAAATATATATTATATATAATTGGGAATAATTTTTATTTTATAATACTTGAAATCCCAATTATAATATAAGACCTAAATATAATATGTTATTAATTACTTGAATTACTAGGACGATCATTAGGACAATCCGCCGATCCGTTAGCGGGATAGCTTGAGTGCCTAACCTGAAAATAATGTATTACGATTTAATTATACTCATATTTCCTATTGGATTAATACAAACAAAAAAAACAAAATAAATTCTATTCAAAACAGATGTTGCACACTTACTACTTTCTTAGGAATGCAGCACGTCATCATATTATTGAGAAAACGAAAGCCTTTAGATAAGGCAGAGATTAATCCACTCATATTGCAAATGACGTGTATCCCTTTTTACTTGAAAAATACAAGTATAGAAATTAACTTTTCCAAAAATTTTTTTGATAATGTTTCTAATTTAAGCAAAATTTAGCGAAAATTGTGGTTTAGAAAAAACAGTAAGAAGCATTATAAACATTATAAATATTATGAACATTATAAGCATTATAAACAAACATTGAGATGAATACCTAGCAACACAAATATTTTTCTAGAAAATTATAATTATAAATAAACAATAATAATAAATAACAATAATAAATGGCATGTAAATCTTAAATAGAAATAAAATACTGTTTAGCAAACTTATACTTTCATGTATATTAATTTAGGGTTCGAGACTTATGGCACTTAAAAGCCTTCAAAAAAAGCACTTAAAGAAAATATTATTAGATCCCCTTAAATTAAATTTATATGGTTTTTATTATTTTCAATTTTTTTTTCTATAGTATAATTAAGTTCAAAATATTCGTAGAGATTTTAAATTTGGACAGATATATTTGGTAGATATATTCTTATATTTGGTTTTTTTAGACATGATAAAATGTTCAAATATTTGAATCTAATTTTGCGAGCTTTTTACGTAATTTTTATTCGGGAGGTACCCTGTGAATTAAATTGTTAGACTAAACAAAAATGATTGAAAATTCAAAATGAGGTTCATAATAAGTCGTACTTTGTGGTCAAGAATTTTAAAAATGTTTGTATTGTTTTTTTTTTTTTTTTTATTAGTTAAAATCAAATTTTGACGAAAATCATAATTATTATGAGGTTTCAAAACATATGTAACCGAACTTCGTTCTGGANTTTTTTACCTTTTTTTTTTAAATTTATAATCATGAAATTGAGCAAAACAAACTTTTGAATAATTTTTTATGTTATACTCGTTTGATTATCTTGTGTCCGCAGTATATTTTTCGAATGACATGCGCGAACTTGACCACCTATTCTATAAACAATTGCAAGGTGTAATAGCAATACGGTAGATAGATTATTTGCGTGTACTTGAAATGCGCGATTAGTTTCAATTGTATACAGACTTATAATATATGTTGCGCTTGAAAGTTACAAACAGTAAAATCAATAATATAATAATTTATACAATGGATGATGATGCTCTGATTCGTCAACCATAGACAGAGGGTGCAGGTATCGATTCAAGTATCTTACGGCAGAATGTACTTGAGAATATAACTATTACAATATAATATTGAATATTCACAATACCATTGCTGAAATGCTGCATCGAAGATAACATTCATGGCTAGATTCGTCGCCAAATGTCCCGCGTTTATAAAGATTGATTTTTTTGTGAATTTTAAAATACATGACTTTTAGTATATTTATAGCAGGTATATATTATATTTTATTATTTTCGGAAAATGTTAAGATTGCTATTATGTAGAGTTTATTTTTCTGAAATTTTTAATGTATTGCACGTTTATATCCAATGATTAGTATTTTCTGAGTTACGGCTGTTTTAAATTCTACTTATCCGTGTGAAAACCCATAAAATCGCGTAAGGCGTGTAATTTAAATATATTGATACATTAGGGTGGACCTTATCGTATTGATGAAATTTTTTTTTCAATTTTTGATCGGTTTAGTGTATTATATATTATTATATTATTATTCACTTCGTACACACTTTGTATTGGAAAAATCAACCACATGGCCATATTATATTAAAATGTTTATAATAACTTTTTAATAGCAGATTACACTACGATATTCATAAACTATATTTACAAAGTACACCGATTATCGGTCTAAAGGCCGTTCTTTCCAACGTCAAAAAAAAAGCCTCTGATTCTTATACAAAGTGTATGGCTGATAACCGACCACGATTGGTCGATTATCTTAAAAACTCAGTTTAAAAATCAACGTTTACATTGTTGAGAACGGGACTAAGTAATAATAATTGGATTTTAATCTATCGTGTAATATACAATCATCACATCATTAACGTTGTCGATAAATATTTATATACCATGCTTATATTTCAAAATTAATAATAGGCTATAAATACATAACTGGAGAAAATTAAATACTTGTAAATTTAATCTATTCTTAAGGATTGTAATGTTTTTATGGCTTTATCACATGCGAAAATTGATGTACTTTAGTTTGCACTCGAACATTCGAAAAAAAAAACAATTTCGTGAAAACTACAAGGAGCTACTGGAACTCACGATTATTTTTTCTTGGAGGAACACCACATCGTGGAATATCATTTCATATTCCAGGTGCTTCTCATCATGCTAGATAAATGGCTAAGGCAATATATTGCTTGAAAATAATTATTTTCCCTTATCAATTTAAAATTCCACCATCTCAACAAAATGCATGTATTTTTAGTTTTTTTGCATAAATAAAAAGTTGGTTTCGTTCGCATATTGTAATTGAACCGCCACACAAAATGTTTGTCATGTTTGTCCAGAGCTTACTTAAATATTGATAGTGAAACTGCGTTCATCTTATTAAAAAAATTGTGTGGCTATCAATAGTACTTAAGTCCCTGAAACAGCAGTACTTGTTTTTTTTACATAAACGTTCGATTATCAGAAAAAAATAGTAGAAGCACTAAATATTACTAAATATAACTTCTTCATAAATTTTATAGAAAAATCATTAAAAAAAATATATTGTTCTATGCGTTTTTAGCCAGGGTATCATAAATATTTTAGGTTATACTTACGCAAGTCGTAAAAACACCAGTTTTCAAAATTTAACCATCTTGAAGCACGCCTTAGGTTTGACCAATTATTATGAAACTTTACAGAATTAATTTTTTTATAGATTTAAACAAATTCCAGGGGTAGCCCGAGTAAATTTTAAAAAAAATAAATAATAATAAGGACCACTCTAAAATACATTGGTACATAAATAGAATAATGTAATAAATATATAAATACTATTTATACTGTTTATACCTATAGGCTAATATAGTTAATACGTTTCGATTCACGAACACGTAAGTAATATAAACTAGGTATAATAGTTACGGGTCTCTAGTAGGATTTAGCATAATTTGTATTTAAATATCAGTGTTATAGATACCCGACGCGGCGGTAGGTAATCTTGGGCGGCAATATGTCAAGCGAATTCCCAATGGTCGATCATATGTCTATATCTAATGCATAGATATAGAATATGTTTTGGCTTTTGATCAATGCCCATAATAAAATAATAATGAACATATTATAGCAGATTTATTTTATAAATGATGATATTATGATTGTTTTAACAATACAATATTAAATGTTCCAGTTAATTTATATTTTCTTTATTTTTATATTTTGCAATATTATTATCACGTATACCTGTTGAAAGAAATATTTTCAAAAATCTTATAATATGCACTCAAAAAGATGCTCACAGACACAAAAAATACAAAAACATATAATATCATAGTACCAATCATACAGTTATACCTCACTATGCTCCGAATCTAAAAAAAATCACATCACAGTAAAACTAATAGATACTTCACTCCACCTTACAGTAAACCTATTGTTATTAAAATATTGTGTTGTAAACCTTCTAAAAATATTTTAACTAATACCTCCATTGAGTGTATAAAATAAGACATATTTTATGCCACGAATACTATTATATTGAAATAACAGATTATGAAAACAGCTGAAGAAACTAGCTTTAAACGTTCAAATAGAAAGGACTGGAATCTGCTAAGGAAAATTGACCACAACACTAAATAAAGAGAGTACACTTGAATGTAAATCTGGACGCACTAGCGAATCGTATAATTGAACTCTCCAGAGTGACAGTAGACATGAAAGATAGAAGACATTTTCAAAATTAATTAGGACAACTAAAAACAATGTCGGAACAAAAATCTAGCTACGCAAATAACTTCAATGATAATTAAATAGACGCTGCAATAAAGAATATAATAATATGAAAAGTTGTTGGGTTTGATGGCATATACCCATAATTTATAAAAAAAACCACTGGCCACAAGATTCGAAAATTGGCTATCAAAACTCTTCTTAGATAGCCTAGACACAAAGAACCTACCTAAACAGTTCAATAAAACAAAAATATTAACAATCCTAATACCAGGCAAACTAAACAAGGATATTAAGAGCTACCGCCCTATCTCTCCTCTAAGTATCGGTTATAAATTACTATATAATATCTTATATATAATAGAATTTCAAATACTATTAACGCAAACATCCCCATTGAAAAAACTGGTTTTAGGCCTCTGTAACTACTGTTACCAAGTCCTATCCATAACAACTTGAACTGAAAAAAGCTATGAAGATCTAATAAAAACCGCTTTAGCATTTATCGATTAATAGCGGCCTAGGATCTGCCAAACGTAATTTTATTTGTTTTCCTATAAATCATTTAAAGTTAAAAACAATATAATATTATGTATTATACTCTTATATATTCGTACACTATATTAATACGAATCAAATGATTGTCATATAATAATTAAATATTTCGTAGTTACGTTTATATACAAGTCGACTAATTATATAGGAAAACTAAACTTACATGTCTAAAACGTACTNCCTATCCATAGTCCTATCCATAACAACTTGAACTGAAAAAGGCTATGAAGATCTAATAGAAGATCTAATAAAAACCGCTTTAGCATTTATCGATTAATAGCGGCCTAGGAAACCATATGACGGGTGGTATAGGTCAACTGTCATTATTATTAATTTATTAAACATATTTGTTTTCACCTAAAATGAACCTTTTGGTGTTCACCTAAATCACCTATTTTGTCCAAACTCATAAATGAATACTTTGGTTTTCAATCAAAAAAATGTCATTCGTTTTAATGGAAAAACATTTTGTAGTATTGAAATGTATAAAGTGCAAAACTTATAAATCAATGTAAACACAATAAAAGTGACACAAAAAAAAAAAAAATAATAATAATAATGATTTGTTGAAGTTATAGCAAGTAGATTTAATAAACTCATACCGTGTGAACCAACCTAATTTATATC